GCTTTAGTGGTTGGTGCATAAATTTGAATAATAGTGTTATTAACTGGGCTTCCCTGTAGGTGCATGGATATTATCCTAGCACTTATAGCATTATACCTCATTACTGATCTGGATATGTTCTTTTTGACGATGAATGTAACACCATTCCTTTTCATTATATTGATACATTAGACACTAATAACCAAACACCTAAGAATTTGTGGGGTGACATCAAGAACATCATACAGAAAGAAAGCAAAACATCAGTAAAAATATGTGAAAGAAGGAAAAGACCAAAACGGATGTCAGAAGAGATTCTGAAACTTGGTCTCCATTGCTAAAGCAAATGAGCAAGTAAAAAGCTGAACAGAAAACTTCAAAGGACAGCTTGAGATGACAAAGTCAAATATTACAATGAAATGTGCAAAGACCTGGAGATAGAAAACCAAAAGACAAGTACATGCTCAACATTTCTCAAGCTGAGGGAACTGAAGGAAAAATTAAAGACTTGACTTGAAATATTGAAGTATTTTATGGGTAAAATACTGAATGATACAGAAAATATCAAAAGAAGACGAAGGAATGCAGAGTCACTGTACAAAAAGAAACGGTTGATGTTCAACTATTTGAAGAGGTATTGTATGATCAAGAGCCAATGATACTAAAGGATGAAATCTAAGATGCATTGAAGGCATTGACATAGAACAAGATGCTCAGAATTGAAGGAATACAAATTGAAATCTTTCAACAAACTGATGCAGCAATGGATGTAATCATCTATGTAAAGAAATTCTGAAGACAGTTACCTGTCCAAATGATATAAATAAATCCATATTTGTGACCAAGAGAGGTGTCCCAACAGAATGCAGAAAGCTTGGACATATCATTAATATTATATGCAAGCAACGTTTTCTAAAGATAATCCAAAAAATTGCTGCAACCATATACTGGCAAAGAACTGCCAGAAGTTCAAGCTGGATTCAGACAAAATTTTGGAAAGAGGGATAACATTTCTGACATCAGATGGATTTGGCTGAAAGCAGAGAATACCAGAAAGCTGTTTACTTATACTTTATTGACTATGCAAAGGTTTTTTATTTTGTGACTCTTGAAAAGTTATTGACAACATTTCAAAGAATGAGTATTACAGAACACTTAACTATGCTCATGAGGAACCGATACACAGACCAAGAGGAAGTTGATTAAACAGAACAAAGGAACACTGAATGGTTTAAAATTATGATGAGTGTCAGGGTTGTATTATTTCACTATATATTTAATCTGTATGCTGAGCACCTAATACAAGAAGGTGCATTATATGAAGAATAATGTGGCATCAGGATTGGAGGAAGATTCACTAACAACATGTGATATGTTGATAACACAACCTTGTTTGCTGCGAGTAAAGTTGACTTAAAATACTGATGAAGATCAAAGACTACAGCCTTCAATGTAAAGAAAACAGAAATCCTCACTACTGGACCAATTAACAACATCCATACAATTGGAGAAAACATTGAAGTTGGCAAAGACTTCATTTTGTTGGGAACAACCATCAACATTTGTGGAAACAGCAGTCAGAAATAAAATGACGTATTGCATTAAGCACATATGCTGTACAAGACCTCTTTAAAATGTTCACAAGCAAAGAAGTAATTTTGAGGACTCTGGTGTGCCTGACCCAAGCTATAGTATTTTCAGTTACCTCATATGCATGTGAATGTTGGATACTGAATAAGGAAAAATGCAGAACTGATGCATTTGAATTATAGTTGGAGGAGAATATTAAAAGTACCATGGCTTGCCAAAAGAACAAGAAAAAAAAATCTGTGTTAGAAGAAGTACAGCCAGAATACTCTTGGAAGCCAGGATGGCCAGACTTAATCTCTCATACTTTGGACATATTTTCAGGACACACCAGTCCCTCCTGAAGGACATCATGCTTTGTAAAGTGGAGGGTCAGTGAAAAATAGGCATACCCCCAACAAATGGGTTGGCATAATGGCAGCAACAATGGGCTCAAATGTATCAAAAATTGTGAGGTTGGTGTGTGATGGTGCAGTGTTTCATTTTGTTGTTCAGACAGTCGCTATGAGTCAGTGCTGAGTCTATGGCAATAGGTTTGATTTGTTTATTTTGCAATAATGATTAATTTGGTGGGGACATGTTTTTTGAGGAGTCATGGTGGCATAGTGGTTAACGTGCTCACATGTTAACTGTAAGGTCTGTGGTTTCAACTCTCCAGCTGCTGAGAGAAGGATGTGTCAGTTTGCTTTGTAAAGATTTCAGCTCCGGAAATCCTATGGGAGATTTCTATCCTCCCATATGGTTGCAGTAAATCAGAATTACTCAATGACAGTGGTTTGGTTTATGATTTTTATTTTTCTTGAATTAGAGCAGGAATTTCAGCTTGGAAGTGATGCTGGGATTTAAGTTGATTGAAGTGGTAATTGCACACACATGAGAGGGCTTATTGCTAACCAACTCTCTAGCATTGAAAAATAACATTTCAAAAAAATGCCCAAGATTTTGTTGGCAACCCATTACCTCACAGCAGCTGCATGATTCTAAGTCTTAGTAAAAGCAAATGTTTATGAATATAGACATTCCATATTCCTAAATGTGAATGAGTAAGTAAAACATAATGTATTAATATTACCCTGAAAAGCTATTGCAGGTCAAAGTATAACAAATCTAGTAAATTTCTTGTAACATGTAGATGAGGCCCATAGTAATTTAGTCACAAGACTAGGCAAATAATAATAATAATAAAATAATAATAATAATAATAAAAGATATCTGATCAGGCCAATATTTTTATGAATGTGTTAATAGTGCTAGAGTTGAAATCTATAAAATTAAGCCTAGACTTTGTTTTACCTTATTAGTGCAGATATTCATATTACTTCATTTAAAGCTTTACAGAGAATTCCAAGTAAACTTCTTTTGAAAGCAATTGAAGGCACAAGTTTCACTGTGGTGTACTAAAAACCTTCTTTCTTTTTGAGATAATACTCTAAAGTGGAAAACAGAAGGTGAAACCTTCAAAATTAAGCAGATAGGGGAAAAAATCAGCAAAGTTAAAATTTCCCAATATGTTTATGCATATATCCATTTTCTTCCAGTGTAGTTTTATATCTTAAAGAAGGATCAAGTGAAACAACTCTGAAGAAGCCTAGCTGACAAATCTTGAAAACATTGATGGAATTGCTTAACAATCTTTAATGGATTTGCTGCACAGAAGTAATATAAAATCAGCATTAGTTGGTATTTGGTATATGGTATTTTGCACCATATGTCTGTGATAGTTAAGGTTTTGTGTCAACTGGACTTGACCAGGATTTTCAGTGGTTTGGCAGTGTAGATGTAGTCATTTCTCATGATGAGATCTAATGTAATGGAATCAAATTTTGGCAATGTCTGCTCTTAGCAGCCATTCAATTAAATGATGTTTCCTTTGTGGTGTGGCCTGCTTCCAATATATTGGACATGGAGGCAAAGCTTGCTTGCTCTCTGGTAGTTTTGAATCTTGCATCTGGCTCATTCTCTAACTTCTGGTTTTTTAAACTTGAGGCAGTGACCTGCTCTATTACCTATCTATCCTGGGAGTAGTCTGCAACCTGCCTTCTTACCTGCTAGACCTGCCCACATGACTGCATGCCAGCCTGCTGTCTGACTTGCCAGATTTGGTACATCAGCCCTGTTGCTATGTGAGTCAGAAGTTTCTAGCCTGACATCTTAGCAAAGGACTTTGGTCTTGCAATATTGTTATCTTCAGTAACCTCATATGCATGTGAATGTTGCACAGTAAATAAAGAAGACCGTAGAAGAATTGATGCATTTGAATTATAGTATTGGAGGAGAATATTGAAAGTACCATGAACTGCCCAAAGAACAAACAGATCCGTGTTGGAAGAAGTATAGCCAGAATGCTTCTTGGAAGTCAGGATGAGCAGACTTCATCTCTCATACTTCAACATCTTATCAGGAGGCACCAGTTTCTCCTGAAGGATATCATGCTTGATAAAGTGGAAGGTCAATGAATAAAGAGAAAGACCCCCAATGAGATGGATTGGTAGAATGGCAGCAGCAACAGGTTCATGTATGGCAATGATAATGAGTTTGGCACAGGACCGGGCAGTGTTTCATTCTGTTGCGCATAGGATCGCTATGAGTTGGTGCTGACTCAATGGCACATAAGAACAACAACAACAAAACTGAGTGAGATATTTTGTGATAGAAGCCTCTCTTTTTATATACATATATAAGCTTCACTGGTTTTGTTTCTCTAGAGAAATCAGCCTAAGATAGGTATTGTTTGTCTTGCCTAACATATTTCTTATTCATTCATTATCCAATTTTGAGTTTGATGAACCAGATATTCTCCTTTCCAGACTACTTGAAAACTAAAGGTGTTCCTTTACACAGTCTAGACGAGTGGTAACCTCTAGCCAATTAGACAGAAGGAAATCTCTGGACAGTTAGCAGCACCCCAAAAAGGAATGACACTTGCAAATACATTTTTATTTCATTTTAGCCTGGCCATTCTCATTTTCTTCCTGCAAATAAACATTTTCATATGAGCACATGAGGTCTGATGCTACAACATCCATGTTTTGATGATGAGAAGAACAAAGGAACTTCAAGCAAACTTTGCTACCAATAATTTCTTTTTTGTTGTACTTTTAAACAATATATGTCTTTATTAAGGTAACTGGTATGCCACTGTGGACTAATGCACTCGATTACAAAGTCAGCTTGAACTGAAAGGTCAGTGGTTCAAGCTCACCAGCCACTCCTCAGAAACTCTATACAGGGGCACTATCGGTTGGAATCAACTTTACGGTACTTAAAAATAACAGCAAATCTTAAGATAAGATAGGTCAAGTATTTTTTAACTTTTTAAAAAAGCATTACTAAACGAAAGAGAAACATTAAAATATATACCTACCAAGAATAAATAATATTATTACTGTATAAAGAAATAATCATTGTTGGTGTTTCAAGCTCACCAGTTGCTCCTAGGAAACCCTAAACAGGGTTGCTGTAGGTCAGAATTGACTTAGCGGCACATAACGACAACAGCAACAGTTACTCTAAGGTAGAAAGACCTGGAAATTTATCCCCATAAAAAAACAAACAAACTACAGCCTAGGAACCCTTATGGAGCAGTTCCATTTTGTCACATGGGGTTCTTATGAGTCAAACTTTATCAGCAGCACCTAATACACACATACACACACATCTTTCCAAATTCAGTCACTATTCCAGTCTGTTTGGGTTTCTTCGTAAGATTGTCTTGAATTATATAGAGCTGCATCACCTTTAATTTCTTCTTGTTTTAATTTGTCTTCTTTATCTTGCCACTTATATTTCATAAAATGAAAAAAATAATTTTTACTTAGGATTATCAAATTATGTCTTCTATGTTAAATTCTAAATAATTTTATATTATAATAATCAATCTTAGTGGTAGGTATTTGTGTTTTAGCTGGCAGAAAAATAAATGAAAGGAATGTCATGACACTAATTATCTTATACTATAACATATTGAATTTAAACAATTGGAAGCTCAGCAAGATTTAGCTAACTGGGCATCAGATGGGAAATATAAAAGCAATAAATTCCATGCTCCTTCACTATATCCCTACTGATCCTAGGCAAGTAATTTATCCAGTCATTAGAGGTCAATGAGAAATATGTACTCATCATAATGAAATATACTTTTTGGAGAATTGTAACTTTCAGATCTTCAGGTTCCTTTGCACATATATTCTGTGATCTAGCTGTATTATGTTTGCTAAAATAGGTAGGGTCAAAGATTATAATGATCTGAGAAAAATTCATTAACAATTTGTGATATGTAGATGATATGCTTACTGAAAGCAAAGAAGACATGAATGATTTACTGATGAAGATCAAAGATTTCAGCCTCCAGTATGGATTATGCCTCAATGTAAAGAAAACAAAAATCCTCATAATGGGACCAATAAATATAAAATAAACAAAAATATTGAATTTGTCAAGGATTTCATTTTACTTCCCACAATCAAAGGCCTCAGAAGCATCAGTCAAAAAATTAAATAACACATTACATTATGCAAAATCACTGCAAAAGACTACTTTTAGAGGGTTAAAGAGTAAAGATGTCACTTTGAGGACTAAGATGTGTCTAGCCCAATATATGGTATTTTAAATTGTGTCATATGCATGTGTAAGCTGGACATTGAATAAGGGAGACCTGAAAAGAATTGATTTGAACATTGGTGCTGGCAAAGAATATAAAATTTACCAGACAGCTAGAAGAACAAACACGTGCTTGGAAGAAGTAAAACCAGAATGTACATTGGATGCTAGGATAGTGAGAATGTCTCTCGTACTTAGGACATGTTATCAGCAGCAACCAGTCCCTGGAGAAGTACACTATGTTTGGTAAAGTGGCGGGTCAGAGAATAATAGGAAGATCCCCAAGAAGATCAATTGACACAATGGCAGCAAAAATATACTCAATCATAACAATTGTGAGGAGGGTGCAGGACCTGGTAGTGTTTTTCTGTTGGATACGACTCATAGCAACAATGTATAGGGTTTCCAAGGAGCAGCCAAGTGTTAGCACTGCTAACCTTTCAGTTGGAGGTCCTGCTCTTATCCTTCATGTCCACACCAGGACCAATAATAGAGGGTCAGCAAAAAAGACAACGAACCCCAATGACATGAACTGACACAGTGGCTGCAAAAGTGGGCTCAAATAGAGCAATGAGATTGAGGGTGGTACAAGAGAGGGCAGCATTTCATTCTGTTTTACACGGGGTCTTTGTAAGTCAGAACTAACTCATTGGCACCTAACAACAACAACAGTGGTGACTCAACCAAAGAAACAAATCCATTGTTGTGGAAGGTGATTTAACTCACATTGATGCTATCGGACAGATTGGAACTGTCCCATAGGACTTCCAAGCTTTCAAGAAGTCGACTGTTACATCTTTTTCCCACAGAGTGGCTGGTGGGTTCCATTCATTGACCTTTCCCTTGGCAGCCAAGCTTAACCACTGCATATAAGAGTCATTTACCTTATGAATAAATTATGAAAAATAAGAACTACATCTGTAATTTGAATCAGGTTATTCAGAATTGAGACTATCAGGAGTTAGTTTCTTTTTCTCATTGTGCCCTTTGAAAGTTCAGATCACTCCATTTACAAGAAGATCTTGACTCAAGTTTAATGTAATCATCAGATATGCTACGCTTTCATTTGATGTTTATTCAGTCCATTCAGGATAAAGGTGCAATCCATTTTCTTTCATTTATGTTCCTATTTCAATCAAGCACTGGCTGATTCTGATCTTTATATTAATCCCCTTTGAGAAAAGGAGGTTTTTAATCAAATAAATTATCAGCATGGCTTTTCTTTTAGACCTCTTAAAGCCATAAATAAATCTGTATGATCAGCTACTTCTAAGCTGCTAATAGAAAACAATCATGTGCAGGTCTGACCTCGATAAACCAATATCTATTGCTAGAACATATGTCTCTTTTACTTTCTGGAATAGTTTCTTTTTTTCAGTTGGGGAAGACTTGATGTATGCAGTTTTGCATAACAGTCCATCTGTAGCAATTCTACACCCCTGCAGGTTTTCAAACTGCTCTGAAAGATAAAGATGTCACTGCAACACATATAAACCTATGTGGGACCTTAATGAGTTCAGGAGATGATGGCATCATTAAGGCAGCAAAGAGTTCAGAATAGCAGCATGTCATTAGTTAAGAATGTGAATACAAAAAGGGACTGTTGGAGATGAGGGGAGCATAAAGGGTACTCTAATGATCCAGCTGAAAAGCAGTTTATACTTCAAATGAGTTACCAGGGCAGCCTGCAGTTAGACACTAGTAAGTCATCTCAGTGATGATCTATGGCATTTGTCTTCCTTGGTAAATGAAACTTAAAAAGTGTAAATACCTTATTTTTAAAGATAATTTGTTTGCTATTTTTGTTAAATTTCTAGTCCATAGATAATACTACAAATTAATTAATGAATAAATTTAAAGTTTGAGTGATTCCTTCAAGTCTTTCAATTGTTTTAAGTAATATGTATTTTATTTTGCTCTGAGAAATGGAAAAGTATAATAAATACTATTTTTAATTTGATAAGATATCTAGATTTACTGCAATTTTTCTGACCTTATTGAAATAAATAGAAAGCCTATGAATAGTCAGGTAGTTTGTAAAACCCAGCACTGTTTTATTAACATAAAATACCTCAATACTACTGGACAATGGAGATAGGAGGGTAAAGTTATGACTCTAGTCAGCTCGTCTGACTATGGTTCATAAAACCCTTGCTCTACTACACTGAAATAGCTGAAAAAGAAATGATTAGACTATATTCTAAACATCATATATATAAACAAAAGATTAGAGTAAATATCATTAATGATCAAATAGGCAAAAATAATTAACTGTTTTTAGCTACATAAATGATATATTGAACCACTAAACAATGTTCTTATCAATGGAGAATAGATTGAAGTTGTCAAGGACTTCATTATGCTCAGATCAACCATCAACACTCATGGAAGCAGCTGTCAAGATATCAAACAACGTATTGCATTGGGCAATTCTGCTGCACAAGAGCTTTTTTTTTTTTTTTTTT